CACCCGTCGAAGTAAAGAAAACAAGAAAGAGCCCGTGTAACTCTCTGACGGTCAATTGAGATTTATGAGGCAAGTTTAAAATTAGTTTTTAAGTTGTTGATGGAAAAGAGAAAGGGAGGCGGCCAGTAATGAATCAGTTACATGCGGGTCTCTTCCTGGTCCCCTTGTCCTTGATCTGTAAATTTACTGGAGCTGCTTCTGTAAGCCAAATATCAAAACAATATTTCGCATACATACTTTGACAGCGCATATATATTAACCACCGTATTGCAAGAAATTTTTAGCACTGCGGGTTCTAATTTTTGCAATTTTCCGGCAATTTGCAAAAAAACCAAAATATGATCATGCTGGGTTCTGGGTAGTTTCTGAAAATTGCAAAACAATAATTCCTAGCAAGAGAAACCAATCTACCCTAATCGCAAAAATTAGTTCCCACTAAACACCAAAAACAAAAAAGACTCCAATCTCCAAAATTATACTCCTACAATACTTTCGTGCCACATGGTATCAATTAAGTTCACCACGTCTCGTATTTACAGCCTAGAATTAGAGATATATATACTAGAGTGGTCAAGGCTGGATTGTTGTACCTAAACTGTTGTACCTAACAGAGGATTGCATTTTTCTCTCTTTGTATACCTCCCTAAGTAATATTTATGATAATAACAATACCGTAATAATAATACAGATTTAGCCAAGGCTAAAATGGAAGCTCCCTTTAATAAATTTGTAATTTAAATCAAACAATAGTCAACAGTTAACTTAAGAGCACATGTGACTTTGGAGACAAGGCTAACTTGAACCTGCGATCATTTGAGAAAGAGTAAGTTGTCAGAGGATAACTTAAAAACAACTCGAACTTAATGGGTCGACACCTGAGCCCACGATACGGTCAGGTGATATTGATCTGCGGATACCCTGTTTTGACAGCTGTTACTTGATCACAACATTGGTGTGCAATCAGCTTTGTGTTGGGCTCCCAAGCTAGCTAGAAAGTGTGAGAGTAAACATTGGTTGCCCTGTGGTGCGGACAGGGGTGGTCGGTCGGTGGTTGGTCGGTCAGTGTACGGTCACGTGATTACCGAATTTTCTGGGATGGTTAGAGAGCTCTGCTATTAATTGAATTATAAGTAACTAACACAAAGGCTATTTCTACTTGATATTCAATAACGACTTTACAAGGTTGCTAAAAATTGAAAGGTGAGAAAAATCTCAAACGTAACTAAAATATATAAAGTTACCGCATAAAAACATAAGAAAGAAATGCAAGTTCTTAGGCAGGTGATCACTTTAAAAGGAATTAAGATTTTGGTTTTTCTTTAGGTCTCCCCGCGCTTTGTAAAACGAGCAATCGTTAAAGGTGTGGACCTAACGATCATCGCCCTTTCCTATCGGTACTTATACGAAATATAGTCCAAAGGGTTAAAGTATTTTTTCCACACATCATCTCCTGCGCTTCCCTAGTGAAGCCTTACTGGAGAAAAAATTTACAAGAAAAAATCTCTTGGACCTCACCATGGTAGAAAATACATTTAAAAGAGTATACCTTGAAATTTTTGTCATAAATGCAAGTGACTGCAAGGAATCATTTTTAGCACCGCTCAAAACAAGACGTCGCCATATCCATCGACACATTTTCTCGCATGTTGTTTTCCTGTCCGTCCCATATGGAAATATCTTCAATATACCCTTCCCTTTAATTTACCACCAATTGCTCCAGGAATCGGATGAGTGTCCAGAATGAAGAAACATCCATTAATGAAGCCAATAGTAAAAATAACTGTGTGGCAGGAGTACAACCCAACACTGAAATTACCCTCGGACAGCCTAGAGCAAACAGCATGCATCAGCTCTTCTCTTCCTTTCCAAGAAAAGACAATCTCCTGTGAAAAACTTTTCTGAAAACTCGTACTCGTCAATTGGAACACCAGTATTCTTTATGAGCTAGTAGGCTGACTGTACGTCATAGAATTCTTCTAACTTCCTGTGTGGTTTAATAAGACGAGGGAATTCCGTAATTACCCGTTCTGCTACGTCACAAATGCATTGCCACACCCCACTTTTTCTTCCTTTTTCATCCTGGTACAGACAGTGAGTTTTATCTGCAATTTGAACACTGAGGAAAGCGCAAGCGTTGCTTCCATCATTATCGGGGTAGGAGAATTCAGGAAAATTGCTATCATTTGCTGCAAGTTGGGCTACGTTACAGTCAAAAACCTCCAATGCTGATGCTTGGCTGACTTTTAAATGTATATCCATGGTGGACGCAGAAGGTACTTGGCTGATGATCTGGACCACTTGATCAATATTTGGCCTATTTTGTGGACTAAACTGAATACAGTCCTTGTAAATTGGATGTATGTTATACCAATCAGTGGCATGTTTGTGCTGGTACTTGACGGGCTCGATAGGAAGCTTTTAGTCGGGCAAGATGGCCTCTAGAAGTTGAAGACACGTTTTCCCCTTAGCCATGGCGCGCTCAATTTCCCTGTGATGTGGGTACTTCACAGAAGGATTCAGTAAAAACAAATATACTAATTTCCAGTGCCCATATATCAGCCTTCTTCATATCTTCAATAGTGGCGACTGACAAACGTGTCTTGCCAACCAGAATCTCCGGGGCCTGATAAACAGGGGTGCCACGATTTACGCGGAGAGTCTGAAAATTTAGAATTGACTTTGTCTGCATCTCACTCAACCGACTTTCACCAAAGTCTGCCAATTTACAAACCATGGGGCACTCGATCCACACTTTTCCGATGTCTTCCTTTGTCAGCTGGCAATAATGTTGGTTGCTGACTAAAACATTTGCCGGCTTTAAATCCCGGTGTGCAACATTTCTGTGGTGAAGGTATTGCACACCATTCGCATTTGAAGGTATTGCACACCATTCGCATTTGTCTTTGCATTTACCGGGAAAAGTACGTGGGTCGTCAAAGCCTGCACAATCATAGTCGTTGAGTGTAGCAAGAACGCCGGATAGGGAGCTCACTCTTGAGTTCATTCCAAAGGGCATGAAGTCGAAGTAAGCATTTTCCAGAATTAGGGCTACTGGTGTGGTGCAGATTCCCTTAAACTTGACAATATTTGGATGCTGCAACTCTCGAAGAATTCTCGCTTCCTTAACAAAATTTTTCTTGTCTTGAAATAATAAATAAATGAAATAATAAATAAATGAAATAATAAATAAATGAAATAATAAATAAATGAAATAAATGATTTAACAATGGATATCCACTGGGTGGCTATTCTTGTCCACTGTTCCAGATCGAATTGGAATTTGGAATGTTGGTTTTTGAGGTCCTCACCAAGCGCCTTTTTAACAACAACTTTCTCCGGCGAATTTCCGCTGCCACGTGGGTAATAATCTGCTGTAAAAACAGCGCCATAACCGCCTTTCTCAATTTCCTCTTTGTTAACAAACTTTTGACAATCAAACAGCGGTAAGTCAGAGACATCGATAGCTTGGGGCTTTAGTAACGCAAC